CTGGTCCAATCATGTTCTCTCAGCACATCTCACCTCACAAAGTTTGTGGTTGTGGGGGAAATAGGAGGAGAACAGAATACTAGGTTTGTTTGCTGCCTTAAGTTATTTGTAAAAATAATAAAGGCAGGATACTAATAAATAAATGAACATATAAACAAATAACAGGTAGGCATATTCTGCTACATCTGCCCAGTAAAAGATAAAGTTGATTTGAGGGCTATAAGAGTTCTTTCTGCGATAACCTAAAGAAATCAATTAAGAGATGGTCTCCTGAAAGTAGGGATGAATCAATGCATTTTGCTTTCTCCCTCACTTTTTTTAACGTCTTAGTTTAGGTTTAGGTTTAGGTTTATTGGATTTATATGACGCCATTCTCCCAAAGGGTGGCGTACAACATAAAAACACATATTACAAAAGTTAAAAGAAAGATTAAATAGAATATCCAAAAAACCCAATAGACATTTACAATGGGATTTAGAAATTAGATTAAAATTTGCAATTAAAATTAATAATTAATTTTATTCAGGCCAGGCCGGCTTGCTGTTGTTCAAATGCGGCCAACTTGCTCTTAGATTTCATCTTGGCTAACTCTATTTTTTTTTCTCTCTTCCTTTTCCGTAGATACAGAGGCGGCCAGACCATCCAGCTGGCAAGATTCGTTATTTCTTTTCATTGCCATCTTCTTTTTCTTCTGGTTACTCAGTATATAACTGGCTGGACCCCGCTGAGCTTAACCTGTACTAAAAAAAATAATCTAAAGAACAGAACGAAAGGACTTTGATATTGGTGGGGATGATGGGGGGTGGGGAGAGAGAGAAAGACTGATTTTGGGTGGGTGGCTTTGCTTGTTGAACGCGTAGGAGAGACGGAAAGGGGTTAAAATGCTATATGGTGGAGTGAAATTCTCTCTTTTTCATCCCCCCACCCCCATCCTGAGAATTAAAACCATAATAGGGCTGCTTGCTTCTTCAAGTGGTTTGCAAATGGTTGTCTGTATACAACCCCAAGCTAATTACAGATTGAAATGGGGAGTATATATGCTAGAATGATTCCTTTCTATTCTTCAAGGAAAGATCTCAAATGTGAGGGCAATCTCGAATTACGGTAAAAGGTTGGAGAGACCGCCAGAACAAGCCCACACGGAAGACTCATTCTTGACTCATTCGTTCCATCGGCTGTCAATTTGTCTTATTGAGCCAAAGTGGCTAGACCTGTCACTTTGCATAAAAGTGCACAGCGTTGAGGAAAGGGAATTTGGCAGGGCGAGCAGGGGTGGCACAGATTCTGCCTTTGATAGAGATGTGGTGGGGAGCCTCCCTTGTTCAACCCGCAGCCCACAGGACGTGATTGTGGAAGGCGAAGATATTTGAAAGTGAGAGGCAGGGAAAGAGAAGACCTGTCGCTTCAGAATCCCACAGGAAGTAGCTGCACAATTCTTTTAATTTAATTTCCCCAAAGAGTTTCTCTTGGCTACCTTTTTGATAGGGCAAACTGCCTGAGTTTTGATAATGCATATGCTATGGTGGGTATCTTTCTCTCCCCCTCCTTTCTCTTTGAGGAAGGTTATTTAATCCCTTTTCTGTTGGAGTAACCTAACCCTTTGAGATGAGGGATGCTTGTTAATGCTTCATCCATCCATCCGACTCTTCCAACAATGTTGGGGGGGGGGGGGAACGTTTGCGGGTTGGTGAGGGACGATAGATCATCAGACATTGTAGTCTTGACTAACAGTATTTTGTGGTCCAAAACTTCCTTGAATAATGATTTCCTTTGTGGGTGAGAAAGAAGGGATGTGATGTCGATTAACCAATGCTTTAATTAAATTCACTCATGATTCCTATCCAGTTGAAGGAACAGTCATTGAGAGCAAAATACGCCTGTTTAAAAGGAAAAAAGCACAGAATGCTGCAACATACAAGCAGTTGTCGGCTTACAGCGATCACTCAGTGGCCATTCTAAATTATGAGGACTTGAGGGAAAAAAGGGACTTAGGATCCAGACTTGAAGTTTTGAAGGTTGGTTCTCCTCTGGAAAAACTTAATTGTAATTCCGACAGCCGTATCACAGCTGCGTTTTTGGCTATCTGCAGCAAACAATGGTTTTGTCCAAAACTGCACTTTATTTTTTTGGCAAAATCACACCTCTAGCAAACCATTTGTCTGCTTAACAATGATGTTCACATAACGACCCTGGGTTCGCTTAATGACCGCAGTGGTTTGCTTAATGACTGCTACAAAAAGTTTATAAAATCAGGCTGGTCATTTGACCAACCTATTTTATGACCACTGCAACGAAAAACTAACAGGCAGGCTCCATTGCAGTTATAAGTTGAGGACTACCTATGGAATCAAAACTTATGTTGGCGTGCCTGAAAAGAGTGGTACGTCATGGGGAGCATATTTAACTATTACAATATTTTTTCCGGCTGCAGAAAGCGTTGATCTCTTTGTCTTAAGATTATTTGCGATTGCACCCCAAAATCCAACATCTTAAGAAGTGTGGCACTTCAGCCCCAAGTAAATAGCTCACTCTTAAGTCAATTTTAGTCTGGCCAATTTTATTAAAAGGCAGAATCTTTCAAAAGCTACAGCTCAGGAAAATTTCGGCCTTGTATTGAAATTAGAGTTCGTGAAAGTTTCTGCCTTTTAACAAAATTTGTCACTCAAAAAAAAGCACTACCATATTTTTTTTCCCCTAAAAAAGAGGGTGAAAATCTATACACTGAATACATCATTTTTGGCCTCCCGAAACCCTGCCCCCTTGACAAAAATGGAAGTGCATAGCCTTTAGGAGACTTGTAGAGTGCTCCTGGGGGCTGGGGAGGGCAAAAATGAATGAAAAATGGACCATTTTTTGCTCATTTTTGCCCCCAATCCCCAGGAACACTTTGCAGGCCTCTCAAACTCTCTGCATGCCCCGTTTTTCACTTGTTTTTTAAATTTACCTCTTTAAAATCTTGGTGCATCTTATACTCCAAAAATACTGTATATATTAGATTCCTGGTATTTTGTTTATATAGTTTATCTGACATGGCTCTCTTCCTACAATACTTGATATAGAAACAGATTTGAACAGGATGTTGTTTTAAATTAATTTTTTTAACCTCTTCATGCCAGTCCTTTGGCCCAGACATCCCACCCTCTAATAACAAAATTGAACAAATCCACAAACAAGCCAAAGTGAACGAGGGGGTAAAAACCTAGAATGAACTGATGTTTTTCAGCTTGGCTTTGTGGCTGTTCCACTCCACCAAGGCAGCCTTTTGCAGAGACCGTTATTTACCAAGGGAGCCCTATGCAGAAACGTTTCCCCAAGCCACTTATTCACTCCTGTCTTGTCTTATCCACTTTTAATTATTTTTTTTGTTTATGTTCTCTTGTGCACAAGTTGCTCAGCGCCCTGAGGAAATGCAAAACCAGGAAATGAAATTAGGAGCACTACTCAGCTGCCTCTTCAATCCTGTCTTCCACAATATGCAGTCCCTGATGATGAGGAGAGGGAGATTATATCCCACCCCTAGATAAATGCTGTGTGAATTGGGTCATATCCCCTTTTGCGAACTTCTGACAAAGTCAACGAGGAAGTTAGATTCACTTAACAACTGTGCTACTAACTTAACTACAATTCACTTAAGTAACAAGGTTGTAAAATGGAGCAAAATTCACTCATCAAATGTCTCACTTAACAACATAAATGCTGGGTTCCAATGTCATAAGTCGAGGATTACCTGTACTGTGCAAATATGGAATTTTAGTACTCTTGAGAGCAAAATCCAGTAGGAATATTTTATATATATAAATTTCTGTGGAGATTTATTCGTCATAAATCAGATCATCCTTGTCGCCAAACCTGATTTTATAATCATTTGTGTGGCAGTCGTTATGTGAATGCTGCAGTTGTTAAGTGAATTGTTCATTACAGGCAGGTTTTCTCAGAAACTGGAAGTGAACACCAGTTTCCAATATGATTTATACCTTCCTAAATCACAGTCGAGTGGCCAACAGGCCAGGTGAGGAGCACCCAAAGGGTGAAGAAGCTTCTTTGGATGAGAAGTGAAATGTCTTCCAGTGGGGAAAAAATCCAGTTGCCTTTTGAATAAGCATCTTTGGGACCGCTGTGGGTAAAATGGCTGATTTGTGAAATTAGCCACCCCAGAGAAAGTAAACTCAGGATAGCAACTTGGTGCATGGTAATGTTTTCTGAATTAAAATACAAAGGACAAATGGTTGTTGGGTTTTTTTTAATTTTAGAAAAACTGGGCATCACTGCACCTTAAAAAAACCCACGAACTTGGACATCTTAGTAACCGGCCTGTGCATTTAATTTACCCTAAAGCTGCTACTCTTATCTGTTTATTTGAAGGCCCACATGGAAGCACTAAGCGTGGGGCTTCCTCTTTTTCAACTGTATCTTCCCCTCACGGTGACTCAGTGGCTAAGACGCTGAGGTTGTCGATCAGAAAGGTCAGCAGTTTGACAGTTTGAATCCCTAATGCCGTGTAACAGAGTGAGCTCCCGTTACTTATCCCAGCTTCTGCCAACCTAGCAGTTCAAAAAAACATGTAAAAATGCAAGTAGAAAAATAGGGACCACCTTTGGTAGGAAGGTAACAGATGCGCCTTTGGCATTTAGTCATGCTGGACACATGACCATGGAGATGTCTTTGGACAGTGCTGGCTTAGAAACGGAGATGAGCACTGCCCTCTAGAGTCAGGAACAAATCTTTACCTTCCCCTCTGCTGTGTGGCATCAAACCAGCTTTGACCCTGGGATTACCATCATTCAAAATCAGAACCACCAATAGGCTATTAAAAATAAAAGCACGGCTGAGAAAGTATAAGTTAATGTACTCCCACCCCCTTTCCCAGTATAGAAAACAAAATAGATGTCATTAGGTCACAAACATTTAGATCTGGGGTAGGTGGCCTTTTCATGACTTGTGGACTTCAACTCCCAGAATTCCTGAGCCAGCCAGGCTGAACCATGCTGGCTCATGAATTCTGGAAGTTGATGTCCACCAGTAAGAAAAGGGCTGTGGTTTCCCACCCAATTTAGAGGAATTGTGTCCAAAGGAAACTGACACCAACCAGGTTTTCAACGCATCAAATATTTTCCCCTCTGAGTTGGCACAAAGGCAGTGGAAAAATCAGAATTGCACAGTCACAGATAACTGGTAAATAGTCCTCTCTTGCCTGGATTCATTCATTTTTGGTCCCACCTCTTAATGGTCTATTTTAGATTTCAAATCACGTGACTCGGGCTTTGGGTAGACCAGTGTTTCTCAACCTAGGCAACTTTTAAAACGTGGAGTTCAACTCCCAGAATGCTCCAGCCAGCTACTTCCATCCTTGAAACCCCAATTCTTGAAACCATTGGTTAGGAGGGCCTGTGGGAATTGAAATCCGGAATTTCTGTCAGGCAACCTTAAAATCTTCAGTGCAGGTAATCCTCAACTTTTAACCATTTGTTTAGGGAGCATCCAAAGTTACGACACTGAAAAAAATGATTCATTATCCTTTTTCACACTTAACGACGACTGCAGCATCCCCATCGTCGCGTGATCAAAATTTGGGTGCTTGGCGGCTGGCATGTATTTGACAGTTGCACTGTCCAGGGTTCATGTGATCACCATTTATTACTTTCCTTAACCAGCTTCTGACAAGCCAAGTCAATAGGGGAAGCCAGAGTCACTTACCGACCACATGATTCACTTAACAACTGTGGCAAAAAGTCCATAAAATGACTGCCTTGCAGTGAAAATCCTGGGTTCAATTGTGGCTGTAGCCTGAGGATTACCTGGATGCAGGCAGTCCTCAACTTACAGCAGTTCATTTAGTGACTGTTCGAAGTTATGATGACACTGAAAAAAGTGACTTGCGACCATTTTTCACACTTAAAGACTATTGCAGCATACCCGCGGTCACATAATCAAAACGGAGAGGTTTGGCAACTGACTCATATTTATGACGCTGAAGTGTCCTGGGGGTTATGTGATCTCCCTTTTGTGACCCCAATGTCAGTGGGGAAGCCAGATTCACTTAACAACCATCTTACTAACTTAACAACTGCAGCGATTCACTTTTAGCACGAAAATCATAAAATGGGGAAAATACTCAACTCTCTTGTTTAGCAAGAGAAATGTTGGGCTCAATTGTGGTCGTATGTTAAGGACTACCTGTTCAAAGAGCAACACCCCACCCCTCAGCCTCTTCCCCTCCTCCCATTCACCCCCATTCTCCCCCCAAATGAATCCCAGCACAAAACGTGTCTTCAATTTTATACAAGAAAAAATAATAATGATCATAAAAGCAAAGGAAATCTAGAGCAAAACTCAGAACAAGTCACATGGCCAGTCGGGTAATGAGTCCCCCCACCCCCACATGGTCAAGGGGAAACAGGTCAGATGTGGGGGGGCATCTCCCAGCAGCCCCACCCCACCCCACAAGGTACACAGAGGTAGCAGGTTCAGAAGTTCTCTGTCCCAAGTCTCTATTGGTTTCTCTTGCCATGAGGTAATAAAGCTATTGGACTGACTAGCATGGAAACCCCCCCCCCCTCCCCAGCCTGAGAGGGAGGGTGCAGGTTGGATGTCTCTGTGGATCGGAGGTGTCCCTTTGTTGTGTGGGTCGTCCTTGTGAAATAGTCGCAATCACCCTTCCTTGGTGTCCCTTTGGTGCTGGCACCGTTCAGGGGCAGATCTTTCTTCCGAGTGGTCCGTGCCTTTCTTTTGCCATCGATTGCCAATCGTCCGTGTCGTGTTTTGGCATCTTCTTCTCCTGCCCAACAATTTCTTCCTGTTGTGAAAAGCTGCCCTAGTACGTTTTTCCCCTCTTCCCTGCCC